AGTAGGCCAAGTAGCCATTGGGGGACTATTAAGAGTCCACGCCAGAGATGATAAAGAGAAAAAATCATCAAGGGAAATGGTGAGTTTTTCAACATGGGTGACCGAGTGGATGAATGGTAGATACCACTAAGAGGCCTAGAGAGCAAAGTGGCAAACTCATTTTGAGCAGGCTGCATTTAAGCCCTGTGAAGCCACAATGTAGACTTCAGGCTGAGTCTGAAATCAGATCTGAGCTCGGGGGAAGGTTCTGGGTGCGAACAGAGATCTAAGCAGCCACAGATAAGAGGGAATTGTCCAGAAATGGGACTTAATCTGAAGTCGACAGACCGCAGCCATTAAAGCAGGCTCTCTATAGCTAAAGGACTGAAAGGAGAGATCAGCCTATGGATTTCCTGAAGTTGTATGTCAAAATATGTGGAAATGTGCTGTGCACGTGCCCTTTTCTGGGGACACAGCTCGTGACTGTCATCAGATTCTCAAGGGATCTAGGTGTAGAGTGAGGTAAGAACAGGGGCCCCGGATATTACTGAGGCAGGGAGAGAAAGAGGAGCCAACTGACAAAAAAAAGAGCACTGAGGGGGTTATAAGTACAGCAGGATAGGGAATTTGGAGAGTTGGGAGGGCAGAGATTTAAGAAGACTGCAGTGGCCTGTGGATGAGGTCCACAGGGTATTGGCAAGCCCGTGGGAAGGGCGCCATCAGTAGTGTGAGGGGTGATGGGGGGTGGGGGTAGAAGGAGCGGGTGGAAGAGGAATCCCGGAGCAGACATGGGACTTTCCAGTTGACAGAGGGTTAAATATGCCTCTAATGAGTAGAAATGTCCAAGGGGAACAGAGGGATTGGGATGAGCAGAGACAGAGCAAAAGGGCTCAGGCTTCTGGGATGGTTTCCAAATCCCGGCTCTGCCTGCCGCTGGCTGGGACTTCAGAAAATGAATGCACCTCTCTGAACCTCCTCACCCCCGTGTGGACTCAGATATCAGTGCCTTATGTGAGGGATAAAAGGCGCAGAAGAAAATCACGTGTGACACACCAATCTCAGGTCCGGATCACAGCAAGTGCTCAGCAAGTGGGGATGCCCTTCTCCCCTCTCCACCCTTCCCTTCTCACAGGCTAGTGTCTTTCAGGAAAAGGGCAGTCTTGGAGGAAATGACTTAGAATCTTCCTACTTGTCCCAAAGGGGCAGAATTTGGTCTATTTAAAGTATTACATAGCATCCTCACATGGGAAGAATGAAGCCAGAAACACTAAAAATATATAAAATAATAATCATGGGACAAACAAGCAGACAGTCACCTTCTTAAAATTCCCAGTGACAGCTCCCAGACTCATGTCCATTCACACCTGGTTATTAGTGGTGTTTCTCCTAATACAGGTGTTATGAGATTGCTCTTCGTCCCCAGCGTTCTGTTTCTGATGATGATGTGTTTAGAGTCATGCGTGTCCCAAGGAGGCTGTTTGTTCAGAGGTTGTCAAGCCTGGGAGCTGTGGGTGGAGGAGAGAGGATTTCACACGTGAAAAAGCAATCCTCAAACAAACAACCCTATTAAAACGCAGGCAGAAGACCTGAGTAGACATTTCTCCAAAGAAGATATACAAATGGCCAATAAGCACATAAAAAGGTGCCTAACATCACTAGTCATCAGAGAATGCAAATCAGAACCATCATAAGACACCACTTCATGCCATGGTGACCGGCTACTCAGAGCCAGAACACGCCTGTGCAGACTGCTACTTTTCCACATTTGAATATTCAATGAAAGCATCTGAATAAACTTACATGTACTTTATTTTGTCATATTTTATATTTATAGGTACAGCCAAAATAAGTATCGAGCAGGGAAGTGGCTTGTATCTCGCACCTCTTATAATCTGAGCCTAAACAAAGATATATAAGAAAACAGTCTGGAGTGCTCTTCTAAAACTCTGCATTGCTTTCAGACATTAAAATTACTTAAATTAATGTAAATGCAGACATGAGTTAACTTGTGACCAGTCAGCAATGTTCGGACATGGAAACATGAGTACACTCATGGATGGTCAGTAAGGTGTTTAAGATAGCTACTATCCAAAAAGTATAAAATAGTAAGTATTGAAAAGGATGTGGGGAAATTGGAGCCCCTTGTGCACTGCTGATGGGAGTATAAAATGGTGCAGCTGCTGTGGAAAACAGCATGGTATTTCCTAAAAAAATAAATAAAATAAGTAGAATTACCATATGATCCAACAATTCTACTTCTGGTTATATACCCAAAAGGATTGGAAGCAGGGTCTCAAAGAAATACTTGTGTACACGTGTTCATAGCAGCGTTATTCACAGTAGCCAAAGGCAACCCAAGTGTTTATCGGCAGATGAAAGCATAAACAAAACGTGGTGCATACATACAATGGAACGTTATTCAGCCTGAAAAAGAAAGGACATTCTCACCCTGGACGGTGTTGCTCACTGGTTAGAGCTTCGGCCCACGCACAGAAGGGTCTCAGGTTTTATTCGTGGTCAAATCTCTCCCTCTCCCCCTCCTCCTCCCCACCATTCCACTCTCTCTAAAAATCAATGGAAAAAATATCCTCAGGTGAGGATTAATAAAAGACACATGCTACAACATGGATTAACCTTGAAGTCAATATATAAATGTAATAAGCCAATCACAAAAGGACAGATACTGTATGACTCCACTTATTCAAGGTCCCTAAAGTAGTCAAATTCATAGAGATAGAAAGTAGAGTGGTGGTTGCTGGAGGCTGTGGGGAGGAGGAATGGGAAGTTAATGCTCAATGTTTGGGACAATGAAAAAGTTCTGAAGATAGATGGAGATGATGGTTGCACAACAATATAAATATACTTAATATCAGTAAACTGTACATTTAAAAACAGTTAAAATGGTAAATTTTATGTTATGTATATTATACCACAATAAAAGCAATCCTCACATCATGTTATACTGGAGAATTGAGGACTATTATTTAACTGGTGAAATGTCTTTCTATGAAATTAGAAATTAGGTCTTTCTGAAAACATCAAAACTAAAGAGCACAGGGAGAAGAAGGTGGAGGGGGTGGAAGAGGGCATAGAGGGGATAAATGGTGATGGAAAAGTAAAATAAAATTTTAAATTAAATTAAATTTAAAATAAATAAAAATAAAGAATACAAAACCCCATTATGAGTGAGCTGGTCCCAGTCCACCTGGACGTGGGCAGGTTATTGAGCCCACCCCTCGGCTCAAGGCTGAACTCACTCCCATTGGTCAGTAGGCATGTCTGAGCTTTTAAGGAAGGCTGCCCTGTCTGGGTGATGGAAATATAAACCATTTTCCCTTCCTCTATAATTTTGTCTTTTATATATTCTCCACCTTTTCTGTAATTGACTTGGTGATTTTATAATGAAGAAAACATTCCTTAAATTCTCTGTATTTTAAAGGCCTTGTCTTCCACTCTTGGCCCTGTGAGCAAGAGCTCAGTGATTCTCAAGAGGGACCTCCACTCCCAGCATTGGCTGCCTGGTGAAATCTCTTTTCTCAGGTGAATCACCCTGGTAGATCAGATGGATGGGCTAGGTTCACAGTCTGCATGAACAGATGTCCCAGCAAACCCTGTGGCCAGCAGCTGGGCTCCAAGCAGATACTCTGTAGGAGTCTGCAGGGACAGATTGGGCTGCTTCAGCTCCCTCCCTCAAGGTGCAGTCTCAGGGGATTGAGATGAGTAAACAACTAACTTGAAGCTCCCCAAACTAAAACCAGTCCTAACCTCATGCAAGCAATGTGTCCTAAAGGGACAGAGGAGGGAAAGGCTTGTCCAGCCGGGAGAGATCACAGAAAGCATGGTGGGATGGATGCAAGGCTTTGGAGGCTGCATGGGATTCTGAAAGGGTTCAAAGGGGCGGGTGAGTGTTCCAGGCCAGGGCCATGGGGTGAGCAAAGGCTCAAAGGCAAGAAAGGGTGCTGTATTGGGGAGAGTGCGTTCTTACAGGGAACTGGATTATGAAGCCCTTGTCTGCCAGGCTTAGAAATTTGGACTTTTTTCCATAGGTGATTGGGAACCAGGAAGGGTGGTGGTCATTATTTTTTTCATTTATTTTATCAAGATACTAGTTCACCTGGATCCAATGACCTCAGAGTCTGCCTTCTCCTTCCACCAGCCTCGAGGACAGTCTGATACCAATTCAGGCAAGCTTGCCAAGTGTCTATTTAAACATCGTTCTTCAAAGAGTCCACCCATCTCTTTTCCTCAAAGGGATTTAGTTTTTGAAAATAGACAGTTAACAACAGGGGGTGGCTAAGGGGACAGGGCTAGTTTCAGGAAGAGGAAGGGAAAAGTTCTCTTTGGCCTGAAGCAATTTATTCGAGTTACATTTCATTGTACATTTTAATATGAGACTTCCAAATTTTATGCCACAGTAAAACAGAGCAACCTTTGAAATGATTAAACTAGCAACTTCGTAGTCCTCCCGGCCAGCGCAGCTTCCAGCGCGTCACCACACCTAATTAAAGGTCAGGGATGGGTGCTGTGAGAGCTGCTGTGTTTTTCTTAATTATTACATGAATGAACAGGTCTGTTTTGAATGCCCTACATGACTGAAGACTGCAAAGAACTCTACACAGGGGCACGTGGACTCAACCCAGGGAGCCCCATTCTTCCCCTGCTCCCCACTTTGACAAGCCTGTCTTGCACATCACTCCTACAAATTCCTCTGTCTACAACCCAAAAAGGAACAGGTAAATGCTGTTATCTAGGTAAACAGGTTCAAGAACTCCTGGAAGAAGAGGAGCCTAGAAAATGGACCTTAGCCAGTCACTTCCTCCTTCGGGTATGAGCATTTTCCATCCATAAAGTGGGGACATTGCATGAGATAACCATTTATGACGGTTTATTATTCTATGAAAAACATCATAACTTGTCACCTTATCTCATCTGATAAAGGAAAAGAAAGGAAATGCAGGAAGAGAGGGAGGGAGGAGGCAAGATCTGTCCACGGTTCCCTTTGGCATCCACCTGGACTGATTTCAGAGCCGCTCGCCTTCTCGCGCCGCCCGCCCACTCGTCCGCGCCGACCAACTGGCTGTTCCAGAAACGCGGACTCCCGGCTCCTTCCGGCCTCCTCTCACTGCGCAGGCGCGCAAGGGAACCAAGATGGCGGCCCCCGAGCGCGCAGAAGCTTCTCTCGGGAAGCTGAGGGACTGTGGACAGAACTTGCGGATGAGGCCGGAGACCTGCAGAAGGAAAGAGACTGCAGGGGTCTGAGGAATGGTTTCACGGAGTCCCGAGGTGCGCCGGGCGCCCTAAGGCTGGTGGGGGCTTCCGGGACAGGAGCTGGCAGGGCTGGCCCAGGTAAGTGCGCAGGATGGCCGGCCCGCCCCTCTCTGACCTGCGGAGCCATTTTCACCGTGCGCGGGGCCTGCCGGGCCTCCTCTCCAGGTAAGACCCGAAGACTAGGTTTCCAACTGGAGCCCCTTCAGACGGCTGCCCGAGCCGAGGCCTCTGTGGTTCTGCCTCCTCACTTGCTTTGAAAAACTCCAAGTCCGGCAGAGGACTTTGAAGACAGGAGTGCCGCGTGCTGGTTACGCCTGGGAACCTAGAGGAAAGTGGGAATGAACAAGCGGTTAACAGTAGGGGTGGAGACCCAGATGACAAGTGCGAGGAGGAGAAGGCTGCTGTCAAGGCCAGACAGGGGTGACCCCTGGGCTCCCCCCGCTCGGACCCGCCGCCCTGTCCCTCCTGCCGGGTGTTGCCTCACACTGAGACAGGGTCTCGGCCCTCAGAGCTGGTGCCTCTGGTTAGATCAGCTTCCCGGTCATGTCGGAGTGAGACAGGCTGAGCGTCTCTTAGAGGGATGGGAGTCTTTCAGTTACTTTTTGAACCTCTCCTACAAAAGGTTCAAGTTTCTCGTGAGGCACTCCCCAAACCTATGAGTCTGCGCCTGCGCCAGGCAGTGCCCACCCACGGCGGGAACCTGGAGAACAAAGAAATCCGTTCTGCACCGGCTCCAATCAAATCTGGAGAGCAAAGAAATTTACTCTGTGTACTCCTGCGTGAAGAACCCGGCGCTGTATCAGCGAGGCGCATCAAGCTCTCTCCCTGTCTCCTTTCCCCCACTCTTGTATGCAATAAGCCTTCTTTTGAATCTTTCTCCTCCCCTCTTGATTTGTGTCCTAAGCGGGGGCGAGAACCCCTCTGCCAGTGACAAAACTGCATCCATCCACCCACCACCATCTATTTGTGTATGTATTCTTACCATTCTTTGTTCCAGAAAGAATTTGTGGAAGCTCAAATAAAATGTAACAGAATGACATAAGTTAAAAGTAGGAAGGAAAGTAGGAAGAAAACCAAAAGTGAAAGACAAGAAGAGATCCAGGAATGAAACAAAGCAGACACCTCAAAATTCTCTATCTGATAACTCAGTCAGCCGCACATCAGTGATTTATGTACTTTTCTTATGGATATACAGATAGCAATTTAAAAACCCGTTTTTTAAAAGGAGAAGACTAGGCTGGCATGCAGTTTTACCCTACTCTTCTCCCTTCTCCCCACCTGAAAGGCACATGAGGCAGAAGTGCTGTGGCCAACGGCCCGATTCCACAGGCCACAGATGGTGGAGCGGAAGAGGAGACAGGCCCAAGACATCGCTGACACTGTAGTTGCTACATGGCCCCTGGATGGCCTGCATCTGTGCTCACTGGCATGTGAACTAAGCCATCTCCTACTTGTCTAGACCAGTTTCATCAGCGATTCTGTTATGTGTCAACTGCAGTTCTGATGCAGAAGGCAACAGAAGCCAAGGCCTTCATGAAACTGCCCAGGCAGCAAGCATGGACTGAGAAGGGAGGAGGGCGTGGTCTTGGGGAGTGGGGGTTGTCTCTCAGCATTTAATGGCTGAGGTGAGGGGGCCAAGCCTGAAGGGGAAACCAAGGCAAAACAACCAGAGAGGTAGGAAGGGGGAGGGGAACCTTGCCAAAGTGGGCCTTATATTTGCCTCAAAACTTTCTAGCAGGCCATGAGAAAAAGGAAACCAAGTCTGCTTATATCACCAGATACAAAAACCAGTAACTGAGGAGGCATTTAATAGACCAGATGAGCATTTCTTATACAGTGGGCACTTTGTCACCTAGTCCAAACATCCTCAGCATCAAGCATCCTAACAGCAGTTGGAGCCATGAGCTCTTAGGGCTTGTTTCTGACCACATCCCTCCATGTGAGGCTGTCAGGAGGAGTGCATGAGCCACATGTCTCTGCAGCAACTCTGAGTGTTGTTCCTCTCACCTAAGCTTTTAAGCAACCTCAGTGGCCAGGAGGCCAACCCTGCTCTTTCCGCCAAGTCTCTCCAGAAAATACAGACCCAGCCACACTGGAGTTGACCTCCTATGAGATCAAGTTGCCTAAAAAGGGAGAGTCTCTCAATGCCCAACAAAAGGACCTGAGCAAAAGCAGGAATTCCTTGGGGAGAAAGGAAGATGCAGACATTGGGTTTCAAGTGAACATTTAAGTGACATCCTATAACTCAATCTATAAACCAAGCCCAAGGGCTGGGCTCTGTTTAAGAGGCTAGCACTGCAGGCCTGTCAGGAGGATGGCATGCTTGGGAAGCTGTGTCACCCATGATGGGGATGGGTCCCTGTGAATCAGCCCCACTTCTACCACAGGTACCTTCTCAATAAGGGAGGCCCTGGGGAGAGGCAGCCCAGGCAAGGATCTCCGCTGTCCCGCTGGCTCCCTCATTCAATCACTGAGCTGCCCAGGCCACTCTGGCCTCCCTGCTGTGTCAGCCTTGGTGACAGCCCAGGGGCTATGTGGCCCAGGAGTCACAGGAAAGTAGAAAAGATCCTTGAGTTCACAGGATGTCTGTGGCCTTGAGAGGAACCTTCTGACTTGACAGTTAAGGGAACTGAGTTCAGAGAAGAGGAGAACTTGCCCAAGGTCATGGAGTGAGGGGCACAGCCAAGTGAGGAGTTCATATTCATTCTCTCACTATCTCTCTCCATTCCTCCTTCCCTCCCTCTCTCTGTCTCTTCTCTCCCTCTCTCCCTTCTCCCCTCTTTTCTCTCATCAGGAAGCACTTGAACTCAATACATCTGACCCCAGGAGCAATAGTACCTGCTAACTGGGCATGCCTCCCAGATGCTTCCGAGGAGAGACCAAGTCCCAGGAGAACCTGCCCCCTGGACCATGGGTGCCCAGTGGACCTTCCAAATATAGTGATTCCTCACACAAAGCTCTGCAAGTCACAGTGCACTTTCTCACCCATGTCTCATCATGGTTGTCCCAAGAACGCTTGTTTGCAGCCATCCGCAGAGTTAGGGCAGGACTACAATAGCCCAGGGACCTCTTGCTGTTGCACTAGGAAAAGAGAGATTCCATGCTTGTTGCCAGAGGATGAGCTTTCTCTTTGTGGAAAGAGGGACTGGGCAGTGGGTAGCTGCTGTGGAACACAAACAGTGTTCCCAGTTAGCCGGGAGCCTTGGGCCCAGCCAGGGCATGGACTGAACCAGGGACTCGGAGAGGACCTCACCAGGGTTCCCTCCAACCAGGAGTCATGAGGACAACTAGCCAAAATGTGTTTCTGCAAAGCGTGGTGCAGGCAGTAGGAACACACATGGGGACAAGAACACCAGGGCAGGCACACTGATTCTCCACCCAATCTGGGAAAGGGCTCTTTCTGTAGCCACTTCAGTGTTAGGAGGGAGATAAGCAGGGCCAGCCATTCGAATGCAGCCTGGGGTTAGGCGGAGGGACAGGTGACAGGGATTTGTCTTTGAAAGGATATAGGTCCATGGACAAGGGAGGGAAAGTGATTTGACCTAGACTCTTGTGTTCCTGTAGCATCAAAGTGGGAAGGACCTTCTGATTCAGATCCCTTACTTTACAGATGGGAATACTAAGGCCCAGCGAGAGAAAGAATTCACTTGAACTTACCCAGCTGGTCAGTAGTGGGGATCCTGGGCATCTAGAGGGGGAGGTGGGAGAAAATCAGACACACCCTCTGGCCAGGGCACATGAACCTGGGAATGAGGTTTTCTAAAGCAACCTGGAGGCTTCTGTGGGCCAGTGAGAGGCCCTTTCCTGGAAACAGCAAGCTGCAAAAAAGCCTGTTGTTGGGACGGCTAGTTTTGTGTGTCTGTGTTTGAGGATGTAGACTGACCCTGGGGCAGTAAGCACCCACGCCAACACAACATCTGCACGGGGCTGCTCAACAAGGCAGTGGCCAATGTCTCTAGGGCCAGTGCCTGAGCAGCTGCTTATACCCATATCCATCCAGTTGAACCCAGGGCAGGGTGGATTAATCACAGATGGTGTGAAGTAGAAGGGAATCTTAAAAGAGTAGTTAAAAGCTTCACACCTGCCACCATCAGACACCAGAATTCCTTCCATCTGGGGGTTGCTGGCCACAGCCTTAACTCCTTCAGAGACAGCTCACAGCCCACATGCTGGCCACTCCAACCCCGGGTGACCCTAACCAAGTTCTTCTTGGACTCGGCCAAAATCTCCACCCCTGCTCACCCTGTGTTTCCTACATATTGGTCTTCATTCTGTCCCTCAAAAACCACAGGACACAAATCCCTTCCTCTTGCACATATCAACCTTGTTTACACACAGTGACCAACACCCCCAAATCCTTTCTGTTCCTGTAACAACTTACCACAAACCCAAAGTGAGTGCCACTGAGCAGCCCCGACACTCAACCAGCTTCCTTGTGACTGGGTTCTACTCCTTCACCCAGCTTCCCTCTCCCCTCCCTCCTAGTTATTTTCTACTACACTCTCTCCACTTGGTTAATTGTGGCTCTCCGGGATTGAACATAACATTCAAGTTCAAAGACAACATCTCAAGTCACCCTCCTAGAGACCTAAGAATGTGTTTTATCCACATGCTCCTTCTCTCCTGTTATCTAGTGTTTGGACTCCCAAATCCAAGCTTCAGGTGGGAAGGCCACATTTGCTCAGAGAGAGCAAAGTTATGGGCTCCTGTGCCCATAATTAAATATGTGTGGCAAATCCTGACATTCCAAAGCCTTAATAAGGAAGAGCATTTAAGGACAATGGGGTCAAAGGTGAAATTCCTCAGTAGTGCAGCACGTGTTGGAGCTAACCTCTGTCAGGTCTGGTTCTGAAGGCTGCTGACGCATTATATGTTCATTCAAGTGAGCACTTAAGTCTGTCTACTGAGCCCCGCAACGCCATGGTAGAAAGGCTGCTTAATATATAGCTTTTACCCCAAGGAGCCCAGTTAAGGAGGCCAGGTCGTAGAGAATTACAGTACAGTGTGCTAGATGCTATAAGTGCGGCATGGAAATGGGACCAGTTAGTTTCCTACTGCAGCTGTAACAAATTACCGCAAACCCAAAACGAGCCTCACTGGGCTAAAATCAGCGTCAGTGGGAATGGAAGCTCTAGGAGAGACTCGGATTCCTTGCCTTTTCCAGCTTCGGGAGGCTGCCCACAGCCCTTGGCCACCGTCAGCACTGTTGCATCTTCAGGTCTCGCTAATCTCCTGCCTCTTTCTCTCATGTTAGAGGACTCCTGTGATTACATTGGGTCTGCCTGGATAATCCAGGGTAATCTTCCCATCTCAAGGTCCTTAACCTAATCACATCTGCAAAATTCCTTTTGCAAGTAAGATACTATATTTACATATTCATAGGTTCTGGGGGCTAAAACAGGAACATTTTTGGTGGCCATTACTCTGCCTACCACGGGAACAACTAACTTCCTAAGGGAAGGGGCATTACATTTGAATGGATCCTTTAAGGCTTTGCAGGAGTTTTATGCAGGACACCCTGGCAAGAAAGGGAAAAGAGATTTATCAAAAAAATTTACAAGGCGTGGAGACAAAAAATCCCGACTAGTTTTTGTTCTTGATTATTATTTGCTTGCTTTTCTTTCTTGCTTTTTCAAGGAAGAGCCAGTCTCTGCCAGAGTACCCCTACGGTTATGAGGCTCACTGCCTTTCAAGGCAGCTTGTTTCTTCCTGTTGACAGATACAAACAGAGAAGAATATTCCTTAAACTGAACCCTGATGTTTTCATTATCACTGGGAATGTTAAAGATCTCACTGTGCCCAGGAGTTTCTTTTGTTGGACCAGAAGGGGGTGCTGGGTCATGAGAGGATCATGGCCCACAGGGACTGATCCATCCAGAAGGTTCTCTGACACAGGCCCTCCTATAGACTGAATGCCCCTGGGCAGGTCTCTAGGCCCATAACTTATTGGAGCAATATATTCAGAAGACTGGACAGTCTGCAGAACTTCATAGATGCCATCTTCTCTGTTCCTGTCCTGCAAATCAACTGAAAAGAACTTGAATGGAGGCTGAATTTGAACTTGAGCTTCAAGAGGCAAAAACTCAGCACTACTAACATTTTTCCATTTCTCTTTTGATGTCACTGTGAACATAAGTTGCTGGTGGTTTGGAACCAGGGCACAGGCCCAACTCTCTGCCCTCTGCCCCAGGTGAGCTGGGGTCTGGCAGGTCTCAGTTGGTGGTCCCTGCTGGGTCAGTCAGGAGGAGAGGGTGGGGGCTCTGGGCTGTGGGGCCAGTGCAGGGAGGTCAGTGCCACAGGAGGGACTTGCCGAGAAGACACATCCTGCAACCCTGTTGTCTTCCTGCATCTTCTGTTGACACTCTTTGTTCCTGGTTCTCCTCTGTGCCAGGTGGCACTGTTCTTGGTTCCACTCCAGTGTGTGGAGGCAATGGAGTGGACACCACCCTGCCCTCATGTTGTGCCAACAAGGGGACCCTTCACTGCTGACCAGGGCTTCAGTTCACAGCACACTTTTACATGCATTATCATCTTGGACTCTGTAACACCCAGCAAAGATGGGAAAACTGAGGCATGGCAGAGCTGAGACCCACCTCTGAGAGCAATGCTGCCCTTATCACCACAGGGGGACACCGCCCATAGGCTCTGGGCAGCTCCTGCTGGGGCCAGGCCCACACTTAGATTTCCACCTCTTTTCTCTCATGTCCTCTCCCTGTCAATTACCTCTCTCTCCACCCTTTTTTCTTCTGTATTCCACTCTCTTATTCTCCTCTAATCTCCTTCTCACCAGCCAAGGCCCCCACAAGTAGTGCTCAGCTCTCAGGGAGCCTCCGCTAGGCCTGAGGGACTAGAACCCCTGGATCAGATGTCCACAAACCACAGACATGCGTGTGTCCTCCTGAGGCTTGCATCTCCCTGATCAGTGGTCCAGGGTTGAGCACTGACTCCATCCACATCAGAGGAAGCAGTTGGAGAGGGTCTTGACTAGCTCTAGACCAGAAGCCAGGAGACTTGGGCTCACATGATAGGTCTGCAGATCATACCTTAGGTACGTTCCTGCCTTGGTTCTCTCATTGGTAAAATAAAAGAATAACTTACCTCCCAGGGCAGTTGGGAGGGTTGGGACAATTGAATTCATGGTGCCAGCCACAGCCAGATGTTTAGTAAGGGTTGATTGAATGTAGTAGCAGCTGGAACACAGACCCCTCCCAAGGGTTGGACGCGGAAATAGTAGTGTCTGTGCTGGGGTAATAAAAGCATCTGGAAGCATGGGCAGAGAGCTGGAAGGGGAGGGAGGAAGGTGTCACTGAGCAGAGGCTGTTCATTGTTTTTTTCCCCTGGGCATCTCAGGCTCCAGTACTCTGGATCCAGTCATTGGACTCAATTAATGCTTGTCTCTTCATGATGTTGATGAAATCACCTTTGTAACATTCCAGATGCCTAATGAGGGCGTGCACAGCAACTGGGCACTGAGTCCTGGAATCTCCCTGCCTTCGGCACACCCTGGTAGTAATGGTGATCTATAAAAGCTGGGAAGCCCAGAGTGACTTCTCCCCAAAATAGCCTTAGTCAGTCCCAGTCTCAGCAAAGATTCAGAGCCCAACCTACAGTGGTTCTAGAAAAATAAGCCAATTACAACATGAAGTAGGGTGGGGGGATGAGGGAGAGGCCCAAAGTGCAGGAGGAACCCAGGACTCAGGACAGGGCAGACCCAGTTTTGTCCAGAGGAAGTCAAGGAAACTTCCAAAACTGGAAACTTAGAGAATGGAAATGGACTTTCAGTTATACATGCAAATCATTTGTACCCAGTTGTTGTCTTTCCTTCCCTGAATCCAACTTAGATGGTACAAAAGGAATTGAAATGGTATAAACCCACAACATCACAGGGAGGTGGAAGGGATTACCAATGGACTGGAGATTTCAGCAAGTTTATAGAACAGAACAGTAGAAGGTAGCGAGGAAGCGGAAGCCATAGGCAGCTCTCCAGCTCATTCACACGGCTGGATACACGCAGAGCCCCATGAACAGAGATCTCGTTTTCTTTCTTTTTTAAAAAAATATATCTTTATTGATTTCAGAGAGAAGAAGAGAGATGGAGAGAGAGAGAGAAACATCAATGGTGAGAGAGTCATTGATCAGCTGCCTCCTGCACGCCCCCCACCAGGGATCGAGCCCACAACCCAGGCATGTGCCCTGACGAGAACTGAACCACAATCTCCTGGATCCTAGGTCGATGCCCAACTGCTGAGCCACACTGGTTGGGTGAGATCTCATTTTCTTAACAAAGCCCCAAAGAGGCTTGAAAATTCATTACACTGGGTACAATGCAGAACAGGTCTGAAATCCAGGAGTGAAAAAACAGATCTGTGAACAGTTGCCTCTGCTTTGTTTCCCTAGGAAAACAAACAAACAATAAAGTTATTTAAAGAAATTTCAAGGTCCTGGAAAAAACAATCCTCCACAAACATCCTGGCATGTAGAGGTTCCCAGTAAATACTCAGTTCACTACCCCACAACCTTAAAACACCACCTGCCAGTCAGTAACCCTTGCTCATGTGCACAAAGCTCCCAAAGCTGTTTATTTTTATTGCCTCACTTTTAAAATATGAGCCAACAACCAAGGATTTAAGAGAAGCAAGCAAGCAACAATAACAACAAACATCCCAGAAAAAAACAAATATATAGCTCAGAAAGTACAAAGGAACTTTAAAAAGTACAAGATTTTAAACTCTACTATCCTAAGAAAAATCCAAAAGGGCTGCATCTATAAAATAATAAGTCTTTTTAAAAAGAACAATCAAAGAACAGGGATCACAGAGTTTTAAAATGCAATTGCAGAAATTAAAAATTTAATTAAATTGTTGGAAGATAGCAATGAGAAGTCTCCAGAAAGGAGAAAAGAGATAAAAGAGATTAAAGGCGAGGACGAAAGGTTATCAAGGGAATAGTATAAGAGCATTTCACACAACGTAAGGGCACAAATCTCCAGGGGGCTCTGCGTGTATCCAGCCGTGTGAATGAGCTGGAGAGCAATACATGGCCCATCACACTGAAACAAGGACAGGGAAGAGATCCAAAAGGCTTCCCCCCAAAAGAGTTCAACTATAATAACAAATTCTCACCAGCAATCTTGGGCTGAGAAGATCATTTGAATTTAGAATTTATGTCCAGCTAAACTAGCAATCAAGTGTGAGAGGAGAATAAAGAAATTTTAAATAAGTTTTCAGGCAAAGACTCAGAAAAGAAGATGTCCTCTGTAATCCTCCTAAGAAGTTATAAAATGAGAGAGTAAACTGGGAATTTAGGAAACAGTGAAAGCAACCAAGAAAAGCTATGAAGAGAAGCTTCAGGAAACATCTAGGTAGCAGGCCCAGAGTGGTTTCTAGAAATTCTAGAAAAATGAAAGAGGTAAGTGCTTGAAAGGAGATGAAATTACAATGTACTATTTGACACTATAGTAAATAATATTTACAAAGGCACAATGACATCAACTCCTTTTTATTATTTTCAAGATTTTTCAACAATCACCAAAATTTTAATTATAATAAGAGAATATAAAAGTCATCAATCTTGACAGAAATTGGGAGGGGGAAGGTAAAAGGAGAGCTTGGGACAAATAGGAGCACTGATGTCAACTTATAGAACAAGGTGTTGATAGAGACCATTGATAGTTAATGGAATGAAGCATAAAGGTGAAATTTCAAGTTACAAATGTAAAAGAACTACATATGGTGCTAGAAATTTAAGATTGAGTTACATGAAACTTGTTTTTTAGGTAAAAAATGGTTGAATATTAGAAATTTCATATGATTAAACCTAATATATGTGAGCAAAAAAATGCATAATATATCAATAGATTAAACTTAATTACAAAAAAATTTTTTTGAAAAACAAGTTTTAAAACGTCACACCAAAAGTTAGATAACACCCTGGTCAGTGCATCGCAGTTGGTTGAGTGTTCCACCAAAGGGTTGCTGGTTTGATTCCCAGGCAGGGCACATGCCCAAGTTTCGGGCTTGATCTTCAGTAGGGGGCATGCAGGAGGCAGCCTATCAATGTTTCTCTGTCACATAGATGATGTTTCTATCTTTCTCTCTCCCCTCCTTTCTCTCTAAAATCAATAAAAATACATATTTTTTTAAAAAGATAGCAAAAAGATAGGATGTTTGTCTGTGTTCACTGAGCAGTTAAGACAGTAAAATCCATCCCATGTTTAGAAATAGAAAAGAAAGATTGAATCCTTTAAAACTGGTTAGAAAAATCGTAAATATGCATGTTGAAAAAAGAACCACTGCTGCAGCCCATGTGGCTCAGTGGTTGAGCATTGACCCATACCCCAAGAAGTCACCTCAATTTCCGGTCTGAGCTCATGCCTGAGTTTCAGGCTTGGTCCCCAGCAGGGGGCATGCAGGAGGCAGCTGATTGATGATGTTTCTCTCTCATCATTGTTTCTCTCTCTCCCCCTCTCCCTTCCTCTGTCTTTAAAAATCAATAAAAACATTAAAAAATAAAATAAATAAAAAAATATAACCACTGAAAGAATAATAACAAAGCCCAGCATATATGAGAGTAATATAAATTTATCAGTCCAGCAGAGGGCATGAAAGAAGGGAGAGAAGCAAAGAAAGAAAATGGAAAATAGAAAACAAACAAAAAATAATTTTGCAGTAACAATACATCAGTAACCAGCTAAAATAAATATAAGCAGATCAATTTTAGTTATTAACAGAAAGATGCTATCTAAATAAAATTTAGAAAAATCCCACATTATGCTGCCTACAAAAGACACACAGTAAAACTAAACTAAAAAGGCAAAAATAAAAAATGCTAAAACATACACTCTGTATATACTAACCAAAAGAAAGTTGGTGTAGTTGCAAAACAAACACATAAAATAGACTTTAAAAAGAAAACATAAGATTAAAGAATGACACTGAATAATATAACTTAAAAAAAAACATAACCCTAAAACCCTTTTTTAAAAACTACATAAATATATAACCCTTTAAAAGATTAAATTAAGCAGAAATTTTAAATTTCTGTGTGGCTAATTTTACATATATATA